ACACTGCCAAATGCATATTTCTGTGAAAAAGACTAAAACTAAATGTAATGGGATCAAAGCTCATTGTAACTCAATAGAAAACAGATTTGCTTGGGGTTTCATAGTACTCTAGTTTAGGGCAATTCAGCACTATCAGGGTAATACAAAAATACTTGCACTGCCTATATACACTTTTAAAATCTTGCTCTTTCACATTTGTATAATATCTAGCATTATTTTAAAGGACAAATTTTGTATTAGTTACACAATTTACTGTCCTAAATGAAAATCACAGCTTTAATGCTACACTTAAATTATTTTCAAAGCTTCCCTGTAGATACCTGCTGCATTGTAGTTTCAAAATTCTTAGATGCTTTTTTTCCCTCATCTGTCAATAGTTTTAAAAAAAATAAGGAAAAAAGGACAAACACTGCTAACTATTTAACATATAACATGCTAAATATGTTAACTATATTAACAATAGTTAACCATGACCAACCCTGGATATCAAACTAATGTAATCGACTTTCATTAAGTTCAAGTCTGCATCTTTTTGAGAAAAAGCTGAACAGAAACATGAGACCACAAAATTCAGTATTTTTTAGGCGTAACACCATACTCACACTTGTTTTAAATGGGGTGGCAGAATGTTTTATCTCCCAAAGATATTAAGCAATATTCCCTAAATTTAGTAAGTTTGCCAAATGTTTTTTATAGGATTTCTAGTAAAATTAGATATTTAACCATTAGGTATTAGATATTCTGTGGCTTGCTATGGAACAGCCACGGAATATAAAAAACCATGTGTAATGGAGTCTGTCAAATCTGCAAACTACCAGTCTAGTAAAATGCTCACAATTCATTCAGCAATAAAAGAGAAAATTTGCAGAGTGTGCATAATCATTAAAAAACATAAATTTACAGATTTATGCAGAGAATTGCTTTCACTACAAAGCATTTGCTAAGCCTAGTAATGAAATCAAGATAGAAGTAAATCAAAGAACAAAATTTAACAGTCAAACAAACATAAACTTATGAAAACAGATTGTAGAAAAAAAAAAAAAGACAAAAAAATGTTCAACAAGAAATGCACAATTTATTTGGAAAATAACAACTTCCAAAAATCAAATCAAACTGATCAATCCCCATTAAGGGTAAATAAATCATTAACAGAATAAAATCTAAAAGGCCTCCTCAATGCATTTGATGTTATTAAAAACTAAATTTGATCTTCATATTTACTAACTTTTGCTGACAATTCTAAAAGGATTAATTTCACCAGTGTTTCACTTTAAAGTTTTTTTATCAATTATCCTTTTAGTCTAAAAGGCACTGGAAAAGCAACCTGTCTTTGGAGCAGATGGGTATGGTCCATCTAAGACAGTTATATGTGAGTGGAATGGGCAAGGAGGAGTCACTGACTTTCAGTCATTCTTACCATCTCTTACTCTGTAAATATTTTGACCTGATCAGTAATGTCAAGGGAAGCATGCAGAGCCACAGGAAATAGCTTACATAAATGAACTTCTTAAGCACTGCACCCAATCCAAGTGATTAGATTCTCAAAAGCTGTGAACATCAGGAAGGCTTAAGTCTATTTATTAATCCATCCAGCTTTACATTTCAATATATGTATACATTAACCTTAGCTATCTTGGCAGGATTAATGATCATGGGCACTAAAGCAGTTAATGAATTTCAACATTAAATATATTTTGTTTGATATTCTGTAGGACAGGCATAATTATGTTACCTACATAATGCTATTGGAGTAAAAGTGATTTTTAAACAAAGAAATAAAATTTCTAAAAGATTATTAGATTTGTAGGATTTTTTTTTTAACACAAAGCTGTTATAACCAAGTGTTCAGGTAGAAAGAAAAGGGGTAAAGAACATATACTAACAGAATTTAATTTAATTATGCTCCCAAACTGAACACATGCTAGAGAAGAGTTAATGATATATATAAATATATATATATATTGCCTGATGGCTCCCTGAGGAGCAATTTGCCAATACAGTTCCATTACATCAGACATAATAAAAATGTCTATGTTGACCAGTAAAAGCCAGGTCTGGTTCTCTTCAAACTCCATCATTCTGGTGGTATGTGAATCATTCTCCCTTTACCCTCAATACTAGCAAAGCTACTTCTTTAGCAACTATTTACATTCAATGGCAGGAAAGAAACTTTCATGAAAAATCATGACTTTTAAAGATAATAAATTATCATTGGTAGCTGCTAAACAGACAAAAGCATCTGGCACTAGCTACTGTCTGTCTTTCTTTGAAGTTGATTAATAAACCAGGTAAAAGAACACTTAATTTTATGAAAAAATAAATCTATCTGCATTAACATTTTCAAAGTCCACAAGCCTGTTCAATATTCAGTGCTGATTAAAGAATTACTGATTTTCAGCTATCAGGAACTGGAAAAATATTTACAGTAAATAATACTACATAATAACTAGCAAGAAAAACAGTAAGGCCCTGTGGATTAGAATCACAAGCTATACGTTACAAAACAGCATAAATGACAGCAAAAAACCCCCCAACCAAGTCTGGTATTTTTCTTCCATTTCCACTGCACCTTAAATGTGCAATCTTTGCCACATTTAAGCAGAAATCTTCACTGAGTGCAAAATGCAATTTAAATTGCTAGCCTTGCCCATACAAGTGTGTATTTATTTCAGTTTACCACTTGCGGATACAGCACACTAATCCCAGTACTTGGAAAGGAGATAGAAAGTGACTGTAGAAGAAGAAGGCATGGTTTAAAAGGCTGTTTTAAGAAAATACTAATGGCTAGTCTGATTGTTTAAACCAGTGTATGTTACATAATGTCTTCCAACACAGATGTAATTATCCTGATAGACATTTACACAAATATACTTTATTTGGCTTCATGAGGTGAAATATGGTATGTGTATATAAATACTTGTACAACAGCATATTTACCCCGGGAGATGGAAAGGTGACAGTCAGGGTAGATTGCTTTTTTAATTACATAACAAGTGGAGTTAAGTGTCATACTGAAACGGAGAAAAATCTTCCAATCCACCTTGCCTAGGGACAAAAGTCTTGAGGAAATCCTAAAGGACCCTCCCAAAGAAAAGCAGCAGGTGTATCAGCAGATAGGTGCACCAAGCTGGTAAAGATGGGTGAAAAAATCCCACAATCAGTGCCTAACATTAACCCAGCCAGAAGAATGCCAGGGAGAGGAAGAGGTGTCCCCACTGGTGATGTAACCATTTAACAATCATCTCAGTGTTCACCCTCTAACAGCTGAGGCATGACTGCAAAATATTTATGACTGCACATAAAGAGACAATTTTTCCATTTTCTTCTGCAAGGAGAAACAGTATCCAATTTTGAACAAAACCAATGCAAACAAATCTAACAGTAAATTAAAAGTATAATTTCAACGATGAAGAACATTTGAGGATGGAAACTGCAATCTTCTCTCCAGTGTTATACCAAAGAGACAGAAAATATCTTCTTTACTTCATTATTTTCATACCTATTTCAGAATCTTTTTTACTTATGTGAGTAGTAATCCAACCTCTCACACAAGTTCATGCTTTAGGGTCCAATTTTATTCACTGCTTTACTTTTCTAACTTCCTAGTGTGTTTGTTAGGTAACAAAAATCTCTTTAACATAAAGATATTAAAAATGTAGATATTAAAATAAACCAACTTTGTAAAAAATCAGAAAATTAATACATTCCGAACGAAAATTGCATGCAAGTACTTTTGTTTTCAAGAGTATTATAATAAAATTTTACTTATACAGACGAAGTAGCATTAGGATTTTTTCTAAGCAAGTAAGAGGAAAAGGCACAGAAAATAGCAGCAACCTCCATTTCTAATTTAATGCCTACCTTACACTTACTCTGCCAGTGAAGATCAGTGAAATCAGAATCAGTATAGGAAATGAAATATGAAGACTCAGAGGTCTTTTCCTGAACACCTTTTCTCACACAATTTTTACAGGCTCTTTTTCACTAATGTAAAAATACTTGAAACACGTAGTCCAAGTTCATGCTAAGGAGAACCGTGACTGCAGTGTCCAAAAACATCACAGCAAATACTGTTCTCCCAATGTAAGCCAAACAGTAACAAAGACAAGAAGAAAAGAGATAGAAAATGGGACAATAGAAGTTCCAAAACAGCAAGGTTCTATGCAACACGAGGCTGAACAAATCACTGCAGAACCACAAGAAATTCCCCAGAGACAATTGGGTCAATCTGTGGTCTGGGCAAATTTAGAGTACTAATGAAGGTAGACAAAACAGTGTTAATTTTAATTAAAAAAAAAGAGAAAAAAAGAGAGAGAGAGAAGAGAAACTAAAGGAGATACCTTTGGAGCCTTTCTTCTCTCTAGCAGTAATAGAGGAATAGTAATAGAGACACACAGATGAGAGGATTAAAGAATGTCTTTAGCTGGAAAACCTGTGCCCTGTCTAGACATCAGAAGTAGCATGAATGTTCTCTAACATCCTCTTTTACTCCTGCTTTAGCCTTGTCATTTCTAATGCCTAACAACTGCATTTGGTGATCTCCTCATGAGATGTGCTTGTCAACTTAGTATTTTTTAAGGAAAAAATCTAAATAATAAAAGCACAGGACACTGTTCTTCTGCATCCATTTTAAAGATAGTCTATTGTTATAGGCTCCTTGCTTTTCATGGTTAATAACTGCATTTTATGATTGCCTCACATGATATGCTTGTAAACTCTTTTGGGTTTTAAGGAAAAAAGCTAAAAAATGCCCAGAAACAGTTAATGTCCTGAGCAGCAAAATTTTATAAAAATTTTTTATCCAAACCAAAACATATTGAGAAGTGAAGCTAAGCATATCAAGACAATAGTCAGATACACATAGTAGAAAGGTGCCGGAAGTCATGACTAGTTTTTGCTAATAAAAATACCCACCTGTCCATATAAATCAAGAATATTCACTGTGTTATCAATAAATTTGTACAATTCCGCATCTGCTGTTTCTCAGAGCTGTTACTTACCCCAGTTTTATCGCATAGACGCAAAGTATGAAAAGATCCCACAGCAAATAATTCTCCATCCACAGCCCAGGCAACAGATGTTATAGGATACTCATGGAGCTGTGAGCTGTACAATAAACGTCCATAACTGTCCCAAACCTTTAAAAAAAAATAAAATACACACACATATATACATATATGAACACAGTTTGGGTGTATTTTTCATTATTCTAGAGCTATTACTTTCCCTCTTGATCATAGAAATTGCAGAAATACACTAAGTTATTTCATTGCCTTTTAGTGGAACTAGAAAAACTTTTACCATTTTATTAGAGTTTTATACAAAAACTGCATTATAGTTCACTTTTCATTACATGTTGTTTCTAATCAATATTGGTTTGTTTAATGCAATAGACTTCACTTTTCTGCTATGGCGAATATTATGTTATTCTGTATAAAATATTTTGAACTAATGGGTTTTATTTCTTGCAAATTACTGTAAGTCTGTAAAATAACCACATTTATTCAATTTGCACTCATTTCCCAACATTTGTAACTCTGCAAATTTCCAGATCAAGGTTTTCTCACTGATTGAAATCAACAGAATACCAGGAAGCCAACTCACAGACTGAAGTCATTTGATTTTAACACTTTGATAATTTTTTAAAATTTCTTCATTGTGTATGTATTTATCACAGCCAATATACACTTAGAGAATGCTAGAACCAATATACAATTACCAAGTTCCTACTTAAGGTAAGAAACACAGTATGTGCTTTCTATTTTGGATACAGAACATCCTAACCAAAAAATTTCCAAAGGGATTCACTAATAATCCTGTAATAGAAAACCGTAGCTCTATCTCCTCTAATTATGTATATCATTACTTTTTTTCAGTATATATCATAGCTTATACTATTTCAAGTAATCATTTCTATATTTCTGCATATTTTGCTTCTGGAGTTTGTTTCACTTGCATTTCACTCTATTTTCATTCTGCCATATTAAGAAAAAAAAATAAAAATCTGATTTTATGTTACTAGACAGAGTGAGATACATTAACTTAGGGTAACAAGTTTTTTCTTGAAAACTGAAAGAATTCTTATTTAATTTTGAACTTCCAAGTACTACTAAAACTAGAAAATGACAGAACACCCAGTAATTTTTTTTGTCATTTAGTTTCCCTAAAAAGTTAAACAGTACTCACCTTGTATTTACAATCTTCACCTGCAGAAAGAATAAGATCATTAACTGAGTTCCAGTCAGTTTTTAGAATAAGTCCATCATGGGCTTTCCACTGAAACAGAAAAAAATAAACATAAATGCAATAATTCTGATAACTTCTATTTTTAATATGTATCATGCATCATTTACTAGCATTCATATACTCAGATGTAGACCAGGGTTTCCAATAATACAAATGCACAGACGTCATGTCTTCTGCAGAAAAATACATTAAATACAGCCTGGACACAGCAGAATAAAAGCAGAACAAGCTGCACTAAAAGCACGTTCCAAACACTTGCTTCTGTATCTTTCTGCCTTTTCTTAACAAATAAAAAGGGAAAGGCTTCTGTATCTTTTCACTTTTTCTTCATTTACGAAAAGAGAAATGCTTAATCACATGCCTGAAGAATATCCACAGCAGCTTTTTTTTTTTTAAAAGAGAAATGGGCAAACTCTTTATTCTGAAAAAAAAAAACCCTAAACCAAAACTAAAAAGGGGGTGAGGGGGATGAGCAGTACTCATGGAAGATTTTAGTACAAACACTTTATGTTTGCCAAAAATCTAAATAACTGAGAAAAGTTTTAACATGGCTGCAGGAGACAACCTTAATGTATTAATGATACCTGCAAAACTTTAGCATTTGGCTGAAGAGGTTTAATAATCAACTGCTTTCCTGAAGTATAGAGAATTTTTCCAGAATCAGGTCCCCAGGCTACTGAATACACTGGTCTTCCTGTAGAAACACAGAAAGAAACGTTTCTTATGACTTACCTGATCAAATTATGTAGACACTGCTATCACCACTTCAAGTGGTTTATTCAAAATCATACACCGAAAAATTCAGAAGTGGGAGAATGTCAAACTAGGGGCAACTGTCTGCCCTCCCCACTTCCTCTGACTGCACTTACGGCTGTGTTCGCTGGTTCACTTCATGTTTTAGACAGCCACAGAAACAGCAGTAAGAAACAGATGCAACCCAGAAGGACAAGTCTAAAGACTTACACTGCGCACCCTCCCAATGCTCCTCAAGGAAATACAAATACACAGAGTGAAGTCCTGGTAAATTCACCTGAGTGAACCATCAAACACTTGCCATTTTCAATGGGCCACACTAAATTTAACTCTGAACAAATCAACTCTATGCAAAACAAATTATGAATTGATGGCTTGTCCAATACATCTGGGTTACTGAAAACATGCATGACTTTACTACTGCTGCAGCCATCTCCTTTTCTCGTAATGCAATTTTTTCTATGCATCACTTAAGACCCATGAATTTTATTGCTGTCTATTCCAGCAGATTCTGACTACATTTACTACTTGTTTCTTCATTTCATAATCTCTCTAAAACCATCTCTGGAAGAACTGAAATTACCTAATTTCTTCTTCTATTATAAGATTTCTTCTTCAGTCAATCTTCATAACTAGATAATTTTGTTTCTTCCACTTCACTGAACCTCATGTATATACTCCCAATTGTTTTTGTTTCCCCACTCTTAAAAAGACCCCAAATGATCAATTTATTCCAAGATATGGCTGGGCAAAATAAGAGGACATTGTCCTTCTCACCTCAACTTTAATCTTTCAGGTGCCTCTCTCACACCTCAATGTGCTGATCCCCATCTCATGGTTAACCAGCCCACTGCAAAGATTTGTGCTGCCCTTTCCATTTGTACAATTTTCTCTACTGTATCAAAGAAAGCCTTTCCTGGACAGTTGCTTCTAAGGTCTACCTGTCATTTAGTATTAAAATGTTAACCCTTCCTAACTGACCAGTCCACAAAGTCAGCTTTCAATTCCCAGCTGTCAGATCTTCAGATCTTTTCTCTTGCTAACTGTTTAGTCTGTTGACACTTCCTACAAATACTTACAAAACCATTTCATGTTTACCTTGAAATCCCTTCAAACTTGTTTACGAGAAAACCAACAATACAATTAAATCCAATACTGGGACCACTAACTGTGATGCCGACCAATACCTAATTTAAAAACAGCAAATGTCTGTACCAAAAGTAAGTCCAGGAAGCAAGATAGATGGCACAGCATGCCACCACCTATCATATTAATGTTGTGGTTTTACTACTGCATCTTTCCCAAACTTCATTATGTATTGCCATTTACCATGCTAATCTGTAAAACTTTTAATACACAGTTTTACGCAACTCCAGAAAATGAACATTCATTTTATATCGTATATTCATAAGATATATTTATGTAATACATACATATAATATTTTCTACCTAATCTTTTATACTCTGATGCAATTTCATTCACAGTTGTCATTTAAGAGATACAGAAAATCAGCATGACAACAGTTATCTTCATATTTGTCCACAGACAGGAGAAAATAGCTATTTTCACCTACAGTGATGAGACTGAACACAAATGTGAGTAAAAAAAGCTTTGTATTGCACCTACATTATTCTTCATAAGATGTTAAGGCTTCATTATTAAGTCTCTAACATAATACATATTTTTGTTTTGCGGCACATATAAAAACCCAAAAGTCCCATACACAAGCAACTGACAAAACCAGTGACAACAAATAAAACTAGAAAGAGTGGCCCACAGATTTCTCCCCAATTAACTGAAAATACTTTTCTGCAGATTGAGAATTCCAGAATGCATATCCAGAACAAAGCTGACTGTTCCATTTTAAAATCCTGTCATGTTGCAGTTTTCAAATTACCTTTTTTGAAAATAGAGGAAAGTGAAAAATTACATGGAAAAACCAACAAAAAAACAGACTTGCCAACTATGCAAATATTTTCCATAATACTTGACAGGATTAGTCTCCCCTGAAGAAGAATAATCAAAGTATTACAGTACTTGATTCCTTGTAAATAAAATAAAGTAAGAACATGTCCAAACATTTATTTCTATCACAGCAAAAGCCCTGCAGCAACGGACAGCAAGTTTCAGCACCATTTCAACATACAGTGCATATAAAACTGCAAGGAGGCGGACTGCGTGCACATCCCTATCAGACAATTCTCTTCACTGTTCGTAAAATGTGCTTCCATACCTTCTGAAATGGAAAAAGACGACTTATTTCAGGCTTCTGGTCTTCTCTAAGAGCCTTAATATTCTCACTTACAGAATTGATACCTTTATTCAATTGTCTAAACACAAGTACGTAAGTGATGTAGTGCACCTGGGATACACTAAGATACCATGTGCAGCTTACACACAGGACATGGGACCTGAAGGAGAGCCATCTCTTTACAGATTAGATGTGGAGGTTAGGCAATGAACCTCAAGTAGCACATCAACACAACTGACCTATACCCTGAAAGCTGTGTTTGAGAAATAAAAAACCTCAGGAAGAGCAACTAGTACAATCTAAATGTTTGTATTTGACGATTTTATAATTTTAGTAGAGGAAAATGGAAATACGTTCTCCGAGATACACACTTCCTAGGGACTCTTGCATATTTCAACTGCTAAGTATCAAATTGATCAAACGAATTAAAACTGATCAAATAATTTTTAACCTATCTTTAATTTATGGTAATAGCCCTCCCTCCCCAACCAAAGGCTTAAGAAATGTTTTTACAAGGTAAAATTGGCACAATTGGCATATTAAGTTGCACTGCAAAAAATGACTCAGAAATATCTTTTTATGAGAATATTTTGATGAGATTCAGATACTTAAGTGACTAAGCTGCTATATCAACCATCCTAAAACAATCCAATACCTTAACTACTTAAGCCTCTGAATTTTCTCTCTGAACAAAAAACTATCTTCATTACAACAAATAAGTTCAGCACACCAAACTTCATTAGATCTTCCAAGTATTCAAATTCTAAACTGAGAGCTGGTCTCATTGCTCCTGAACATCTTTATACTTCATATATTTTCTTTTAGGAAGGCATTTATTTTAGTTTTTCAGAAATACAGAATGATGTATTTTTTTTTTTAACTCATCAACCATTATAGGAGACAACTCACAGAAACATACAACGTATATTAAGTAAATCTGGCACTAGCTATTTTCCTACTGGCAGCATTTTATGTTGAAAATGACATAAATTCTGTCACCAGCTGTATAGAAATTCTAAACAAATTAATTTTTGTCCTGCACTAATGCTGATTTAACAATCAGAAGACTTTTATATTTAAACCAAATGTTTAACTTTTTTATGATGGCTGACTACTTAACCACAATTTCTAGGGCTTAACAGCAGGAGCTAAGTTAACTCATTTCCTTCTGCACTTAACAAGAACTTGGTTGGGAAAAGACTGCCAACACATTGCATTTTTGTGGAAAGAAAAATTCAGCAGAACAGACAAACTGCAGTGAATTGCATTGATGATAAACAGCTTCAGGAAAAAATACTTTTTGAGAAAAGAAGTGAGAAGAGCAGAAAAGGTGAGATCTGAGGAAGGAATCTCAGCATGAAGCATACAGGACGGGCTGCTTCATGTCTCTGTGCTCTATTAGCAGATGTTAATCCCCAGTGAACCATTCCCACTGCCAATGCATACAGCAGAGAAAGAGCTAGGGTTGAGGGCAGGAGTGATAGAGCAGTCACTCTGACACTTTCTGCCACAACAGATGCTTCGGTAATTACAACAGTAAGTCTGCGTGAGACTTTTTACTTTCACAGGACTCAAAACAGTAAGTCAGACAACTTTCACTCACTCTGTGGCAACACAAAAAAAAAATAAGAGCTGCATCTGGAATACAGTTGTCCCTTACAAAACAAGTTCCACTTCACAATAAACATGTTGTAATTGTTTAAATTGCAACTGCTGTGATTTTGTTTCCATTAACCGAAAAAAGGCAACTTATACCCCAATCATTCACATTAACCCTTGGTGCTTACTCAGCATACTAGTCACTGGAAGCTCATCAGAAAGTCAGCAGGGCAAAAAGAGAAGTATTCAAAAAAAAGTATGGTTTTAAGAGGACTGGATGAAAAGTTCAATTTTAAAGAAATCACCTGAAGAACTAGAAATCCATTGGAGGTAAACTGGTAAAATGTGTGGCATGGAAACAATAGTTCTGCGGTTGATACTTAGGGTGGACCCATAAGGTCTACCTACTTGCTCACCCTGAAGATTCTCCAATCATGGAGTAAGAGCAGTTACCAGCAAAACAGTCAGCTTCACTACTGGGACAGGCTAAAGAAACAGGAGGGTTAGAGAGCCACTTGTTTGCAAACTTCAGCAGTTAACAATTTTAGACAGACCTTTCAAGATAGGCTGTGCAACTGTGGACTCGGCACTGGTCCTTCCAAACAGATGTTTGGTCTGAGAAGGACTCAGTGCAGGTGGCCTCCTGTGCCATGACAGACTTCACCTCAAACACTTTTAGTGTCAGGATCTACAAAGCACCATCAAAATTTCTTCTGGTAGAGCCATCTTTTCTTTCAAATGTGGACCTTCAATACTTCATACATCCTATTCTTCATAATTCTGTGGATTTCTCCAAAGGAACACACAGACACTGAGCACAGCATCATGCTGCAGTATATATATCATAGAACACACAGAGAAATACTGCTTTAAGCATAAACGCATGACTTCCCAATATATACCAAAAAGATCCATGAAAAAAAAAAAAAGACTTCAGCAAAACATCAGCAGGTTGTGTCTGCTGGAAGTCCAAAGGATTGTTAACTACAGCATTTTTAAAAAACAGAGTTTCAGTTTAAGGGAAAGGACGAAAAGGAAGAATATTAAGATAATCTAAGGACGAAGAAGAGACAAGGCTCAAAGAACACAGAACAGGAGCAATATGGTACAACTTGAGGCTGAAAGCAGTAGAAGCTATGGAGTCACACTAACTACTCTGTTCCATTGGCACGATGGAATGACATGCGGACAGAGTGCTCCATATAATTACTGCAAAGGCTAAAAAAGGGGAAAAATATATGTTCATGGTTTTGTAGTGAACAAAAATCCAAAGATAGAAAAGGCATGCGGACCATCATCTGAAGATAAGAGCCTGAAAATTTTTTTCTAATACAAAGACTGGAATGAGTAGAAAGAATGTTAGCAAAAGTAATCCTTTCATTTCCTAAGGAGATGATGAAGGAAGTGAAAAATTAACTCAAACATGATATACCTCTCTTAAACAACATAACAATAGCTGCAGAATCCTATCTTGATCCCAGGCATGTCAGTAGATCCCCCAGAGATACCTTTGGGAATACAATCCTATAAATTTAATGTTTAAAAGGTTTCTGAGTCTCACAGGATCTTATCTTAAAAGACAAATACGAGAAAACAATTTTTCCATGGGGACCCAGCTGTACTTTTACAATGTAGCAGAAACTCTAAGAAATCAACGAAAATTCAGCTTGTATATTTCAAACTAGAACATTTGTCTTACTTTACAAGCGTCATCAAACCTCAAATAAGCAATCAGGCATACCCCCCCCCCGAAACATACCAACTGAGAAATAGTGAAGGAAGAGTGTGTGCTTCACCTTTTTACTTTTTTTCAAAAATTACAGTTCAGTTGGCTTATCTTTTTACATTGTAAGCATTAAAAAAAAATCACATCTGAATATAAACTTCCTCAACAGAACTGAAATACATTTTACATTCACTCCTGTGGTTAAAATGCCTTCAACAGGTTGAAAGAATTTAGATAATTTGTTTTAGAAACAGATAAGGGTCTGACATTTAACCCAACCCAGGTGCATGTGGTTTCTTAAAAAATGTCAAAAGGCTATATGATCTCAATGTATGAAGTATGAAAAACAAAATCTAGCTGAGTATCTTACTGAAATAGCACAAGAATGACAGAAATTATGATTATAAAAAATAGCATGTTAAAAGTAACAAATGTCACTTCTATAAATACATATTTGCAGTTTATATTGTTGTTCTTCACAATAAAATGATTTTAAATTTACTTAAATAACTGAAATGCTCTAGTATACATAAAACTGTAGTTAAAAAGCCAAGATCAAGGTAAGGGCTCCATTGCCCCAGAACAAAGAACCTGAGAGCAGGAATCTTCACATAAGTAGGTCTATCTACATATACTAAATTACAGTTACTGGGTTAACTAGGAAGATGAACCAAGGGCTGTTAAGAGTTTTGAAGTTCAGAGGATCTAGCCTACATGCACTTTGCATCTTTCAAGCATTCTTACAAAGCTTTTCTAGGCATAACTTCTCATTTTTCAGTTTCATCGTAAGAGTCTTTAGCTTGGTATTAAGAACTAAATTTTTTTACTTTTAATTCTTTTGTCTCTCCAGAATCCTTAGGACAGAACTGAAACTACTGTCTAAAAATGTTGTAATAATACTTTTAATTTGAAGATTTATTTCGTTTTTTTTTTTTTTTTTTTTTTGAGAAGCATCTCATTACAAATCCTGTTCCCTCTTTATTCAACTATGATTTACATTTAATTTTAGTTAAGCATATCTAGGCCTTAAGATCCTTAAACAAACCATTACTGCCAGATTTAGGGTCTGTGATTTTATTTCATAATGTCCTAAATTAAAAATTTCTGATGGCACTTTAAAAAGCATTAACTTACCTTGCTGAGCTAAAGTGGATCTCAGCATTCCACTTTTAGACCAGATTTTCACTTGGCCATCTTCACCAACTGTAAAGTTATCACAGAAACTATCAGCTTAAATGCAATAGTAAGTCTAACAAACATAGTGCTTGCATTTACCTAAGAAACACTTGTTTTAAAGAAGTCCAGGTCTTCTTATGGGTCAATATTGTTTATGTAGACTTCCCAACATGCAACTACACAGTATATTAAGGAAAAAATATTTCAGACTATTCTGCTATTATCAACAAGTCTCTTCCCCTCCTGAAAATCCCTATAAGTCTTCTTATCTGAAGCTGTTCCTGGGAAGAGAAAGTGCCTCACTCCAAGTATCTCAAGTTGTGTATTTTCTATTCAGCATTGCTAGTACTTTTCATGTATTTACAGTTCAATGGCCGTGAGGCTGATTAAATGGGTCTCTGAGGAGACAGAAGAGTGTAGGAACAGATTTTACGTATTAAGCTGGAGGCTTCACAGTTGATGAATGGTGAAACTGAAGATAACTGAAGGCTCCATTTGGAAAGCTTAAGTTTTATAACATAATTGCACATTTCCAAGAAGCTCAGTTTACTTATTAGAGATTAAGTCCATATACACTATGCAGCTTAGTTATTTATCCATTGAGAATACAGATTTCCTAGTGTGCTATCATATTTGAAACATACGGCTCTGGGTCTTCATTTAGGCCTTGCAGAGTCAAATAATGAGACAGAAGACACACCTCGGCACTTAATGTCATTCTTCCATTCAAGGGTAATTTACTTACCAAGTTTCAGGTTTTTATATCTGACTGATGTAGCTTTTAAATGTTTAAAAAGTTTTGAAAAATTAAACACCACCCCCCCCCCCAAAAAAAAAAAACCAAACACAAAAACCATATAACAAAAACCCCTTATTTGTGCATATTTGATACTGTTAAAATACAGCCATAAAGAATATTTTAGCTGATATGGTATCATCAATGATTCACTCTTCCTCGAAGTATAGTTGCAGTACAAGAGTAGTTGATCATCTCAGAGTAAACTGTTTGGATATGGTGATGAATTCCCATATTCCCCATAAGTGTCATGCAGTCTTTAAAGAAATAAATAAATAATCTGTCTTTAGAGAGAACAATATTTCTATCCCTCTGGGATTTCAGAGGCACATGCCAGGCAGAGCTCCTTGAAGCAGCATTTTAGAGTCAGACTGAGTCTGGAAACAAACAGACCCAAAATTATCTTCAGTACTTCTGGACTGACTTGGAATTTGTCCAAAGAAATCAGCTGTGCTAGATCAACAGGAGGCTGCAGGGAATTCTGACACCAACAGAAATCCCATAAAGGAGATGTCTATCATAAGAAATTCAATTAGCTATCCTTTAACTTCAAGATAGAAGTTTTTGACAAAAATGCAAAAGGCAGCTAAATACCAAAAGATTTGGGACAGAAAGATGTGTAGAGATGCAGACACGGGGAGATCACTCTCCCAGCCTTGATAAGAGCTGAGAGTTAAGACTACAGCTGGATCTACATCACTCCTAATGACTAAGAAAGAGAAACACGGGAACCTTCAAGATGCTCACAAGGCCTTGGTAAACTTTACTAGCTTAGAAATACCCAGGTGTCATATGCAGAGATATTTTTATAACAGATAGAAAAAAATAATCAAATATTCACCTTTATGAAGTACAGAACATCCATGAAACATCTAAGCACTCCGATATATCAAACATTTACTTTCAAGTAAATAGGATAACATCTAATAAGTAGAAGCACTAAATAAGATGAATGTTTTTTACTAGATCTTTTCATTAAAATATTAATTCTGTTAATTAAAGCATTACTCTAAAGCAGAATTAATCAGTTAGAGTAAAATTAACTTCTATTAAACACGGTGATAATAATCCCAGTGGTCATGAAGACATAGTAACTTACTATAGCTAACTTCATCTATATTGTTGATTTTGTGTTTCCATTTCCCCCTCCTCAAAAGAATTTCAAGCTAGACTGTTTTATTCATTCAAACTGAATATAAATACAACATAAACCATGAAATTAAGGACTGCATCTTCTAAATACCTGTCAAGGGTTAAATTATTTTTCAAAAACATTCTATTTCCTTTATCCCATTGAATAAAGTACTTGCATTCTACAGTTGATCAATAGCATTTTCATAATTTTTGTTTAATAGTGTACTTTTGTGCCCTCATATTTCTTCACAGCATGTAAATTTCATGTATCTATAAAAAAAAAAAAACCAAACAAAAGGCTTTCTTTTGAAAGAGCTCTTCTGTGATTTTAGTTTTCAAAACACTTCAGCACTTTGAAAATGCTTACCTGTAACCAGTGCTGTTCCTTCGTAATTCCATCTTCCTGCAAGTACAGCTCCACAGTGTGCGTCTATGCTCTTCTCTATTCTTCCTAACTTGGAAATCAAGTGGAACTTCCCTAAACAAAAGTTCAAGATAGAAATAGTATTATCTAATTTTGTGACTCTATGGCTGTAATGGTGTTAATCTTCTGTTAAAAATACACACATAAAACAAGACAAGAAACTAACAACAACAAAATCAAAACAAAACAAAAAACAACAAAAGAAGCAATTATATTGTTCACAGCTATGATTAGCCCAAACAAATGAGGTCTTGCAGAAGAACTACGTGTAAACTAGCTACAACCTTGTATAGGGATATTTTGGTGGGGTTTTTTATTGTGTTTTTTTTTGTTTGTTTGTTTGTTTTTTTTCCTTTATGTATAATCTTTGTTTTGCCTGTTCTTCTGTCTTTCTGAAGTTTGTATTTGTCTCTGGGGACATAACTGCCTGGTGTTATTTCACTGAAAGCTAACAAACAGAGGTGTATACACTGCAGCCAAGGAAGAGTCCTTGTGTGGTTTTTGGTGGGGGCTTTTTGGGTGGTGCTGGGTGGGTTTTTTGTTTGTTTTTTTGGGTCGTCCACCCCCCCCCCCCCCCTTTTTTTTTTGTTGTTTTTTTAAGATCTGAAAAATTACTCAACACCAAAAGGTTAATGAAAAGCTAGAACAATCTGACCATCAGGGAGTGCGTTGCTCTGACGAGTATTACTGCTTGCATTATGGAGCTGTTATGGAAATTCACAGAAGCCAAAACCAAAGCTATTAATGATTTCAACAGAAGCATGAGGAAGTCTTTCTTTCCCAGTGAGGGATGTTGCTTAAATCCAGGAAGATCAAATTTAAACTGGACCAAAGAGCAGACAACAGAGGACTTGGAAACATGTGGCAGAACAAAAGCGTGGCTTAGAACAGTTTCATGATTCAAATTAACTATTTTAAACCCAAAATTAATTTAGAATTGTCTAATCTGCCAGACAGTGAGCCACTACAAGCAATTACCAGCCTGACCAGAACTCTGAGCTGAACAGTACACAGATATCTTACACTGTGTGCAAATGCCCCATCACTTAAGATGGAGTAATTTTTCCATTAATAACATCCTGCTTGCGAATATGAATTATAAACCAGGCCATACCTGATGAGCCAGAACTGGAAACTAAATACCTGACTATTTCAGTAAAGCATGACATTACCAAGACCAGTATGTACAGAGGTGGTAACAGAGTTAACTGAACTGCATAGACAGTAAAACCACATGACATCACCACACTAAAGGCGCATTCAAAACGCAGTAGCCAAGAGGGCAAAATTTAGGTTGCCTGCACTACCAGAAGTTTGAAACAACTTTTATTGTGTTCTGATTTGCCATGTTTTATTTTGCATTTCAATTTAAAAACAAACCCAAACCAAACAACAACAGAACAACCAACCCCAATAACAAGAAAAAAACATAAAAACAAAGGCAGACTAAAGCCAAAGAAAACTAATTCCTTAAAATAACCATAAAGCATGTATCAGGGCTTTCCATACTATTATTCAAATTAATGCAATCACACCGTCTTCATTTTACTTTTAAGTACATAAACAAAAAGGCACAATCATCACAAACCTTGGCCAACACAAGATTTCTAAGCAAAAGATTTTTAACACTGAAGAAAAAGAATGGTCTGTATAAATTTTTAACATTTAAATGTTAAATTGTTTAATTTGAACAGACTATTTAGATATCATAAACAAGTACAGATTTTTGCTTTTATCACTTATATTCATATGTATCGGAACACTCTGAACTGCTCTTTAATCCCGTTTTCAATAAATTCACAGAACTAACACTAAGGCCAGTTCTTGCTCATTGAGTTAAATTTTATTTTCCTAAAATTTCAGTACTGGTATTCTTCATGTAATGCACTGTGTTATAATCATAAAATATATTTTATATAATTAACACATCAGTAATTTTATAGAACATCTCTCAGATCTGAGATGCTTATTTTTTATGCATAAGCAGTAACTGGATTCACATTAAATGCTCTTTTCTCTAATTAAATTGTCAAAACATCCTTTTCTGCTTTTAAAATAATACATTGAAAAAGATGTTTGATTTTCTGATCACTTGTCTTTTCGATACATAGCGTATGTATTCAATCTATAGCCAAGATATTTTTCATTGTGGAATACTTACACCTAATCTGATCATAGGACTATGAATATTGTCATGCCACCACCTGCAGTATTCATCATTATGTGGCTGAGCGCTTCATAGCCATTATAAACAGTTCACTAATTTCCCTTGAAAAGAAGAGCTTCGCAAATCGTGAGCTTACATACAGAATCTAACTCAAACGTGTACATCACCTTTCAGTACCCAATCTGAAACATTCAGAATTACTATTTTAAGGATACAAAGAATTCTACAGCATTTTATATATTGACACAACAGCTTTCACTGACCTAGGGGTAATCCGTGAGACCTCAAATACTTCTGTAAGCAAACCCCCCAACACATAAGAGAAAAAATAAATTAAAATGAAAGAACAGACAGTTGGCAAGCAACTGAATACTTCAGTTAGGTCACATTATCAGGAAAACAATGGGCCATGTCACAGAGTACAGGATATCAACTCCTGTTATACAGGGAAACATTCAAATCATTTACCAATCTTTTGCATCCTTTATCACTCCACAAACTCTTTACTTCTTTCACAAGGCATCTTTCAAATAGTGAACTGTAGCCTAGCAGGAAAGAATAGAGTCTCATATAAAAGCTGATCCACCTAAGGTACTAACATAGAATTCATCTGGAAAAAATGTGATCATGCATTTAAAAACTGTATCATAGTACTTAGGCAGCACAGGGCCAAATCAAGTTTTCATGGATATCATCTTTGCTTTTCCAATGTATGGATTTACAACTGATGACAGCCAAATTAGGTGACTCATTAGATACTGCTTTTTTCATTACATTCACACATAGATGTCGCTCCAAAACCAACTTCTCAGTGGATTTCTCTGCCTTCAACTTAACATTGAGGCAGAATGAGAGTAGACGCATTCAAATTAGAATTTATTGCCTTATAAACAATTAAAGAAAGGGAAAATTTTAGCTGTATGCCTGGAGTAAACAGAAATGAGTCGACTTAATCTTTCTTTACATCTCAGATTTGTAAAATACTGTTTGGTTTTTTGGGTGGGGTTTTTTTTTTGGTGTTTTTTTGGTTTTTTTTTACTTATTAAACACTGAAGCCAGAAGGTGTCCTTAATCTCGAAGTGACTCTCCAGTTTTGGAGGAATTTCAAGTGGGAGATAGCAGACTATTCAAATACAGAATATAAAACATGTATGTTTTGGTCATTACTTTTCATAAGCTCTTAAATGCTGACCTAATGTAAAATTATCAATAACAAAATGTTGAAAAGATAGGTCTATTCACTTACAATTTGTGCTTAATAAATAGTTGGAAGCTGACCACATTCTTTATTTTTGTAAAAAAAGCAGCAACAGGATCAATGTAAGTAGGAAGCAAAAGAACAATATCCCACAAGAGATGCAATTCAAAAGAAAACCCAAGAGGACTAATTTTACATTTGCTCTAATTTCACAAACATCTGGAGTTCAACCAGGAATTAATGCAACCCTGTAAAGACATTATACTCCTTTCCCATTGGATTCAGCAAGTTTCCAGAAATCCTTATCACAGAGATGAATTAGCTGTTGCAGGAAAACTGCAGGTTTGACACATAAGGCATACTATGTAAGTAATAGTTAGACATAAATTTAAAAGTAAGGTTTTTAAAAAAATAGCAATTAAGTAACAAAACTTGTTCATGCACTTTTACAATGCAATAATTCACTTGCATATGCAAAAAAAAAAAACAACAAAAAAAAAAACCAAAAATCTGTATGAGATAAATTCCCTTTACTGAAAGTGCTAAGTTATACTAGGAGATAAAAACTTGGGAATTTTCTACATTACATTTTTATCTCAATTTATGCTTTGACAAATTAGGTTAGCACTGGTCCGTATTTTGATTTCACTGAAAAAAAACCCACCAAGCAAAACCCAGGGAAAAAAAAATAAATAAACAAACTCAAACAAAAAAACTCAACAATTTTCTTTTTTTTTTTTGCAAATACATCTCAAAACAGTTTTCCAGAAACCAAATATTCAGGATGAATTTACCCATCAATGCAAAGAGCTTATCCCTTAGTTCTAACAACAGCTAACTATGTAAAAAATCGCTACAAGAGAGAAGATACTAGCTTGTGTAAGACATGACTTGGGTTTTGTGATCTGTGAACTAGTTAAGGCAAAAAATAACTCATTCCATCAGTAAATGCAAACCAAATCAACTTTTGGTGCTGGCCTCCCTACTACCTACGAAGGCACCACACTGAATGTTTCCCTTCAGTGAGGGCAAGCATAACAACCCCTCCCTGCGTGAAATGTTTTTCTGCATGCATCCCCTGCCACAGCTGCTCCCTCAAGTAGGCATTTTTCCATCACATCACTGCCTCACTCCACAAAACCCCCCAAGAAGCATCAAAGTTACTGATTACTTGCCATCCAGTGCCCCTACGACACCTGTCATGGAAGCCTCATTTTCTTAGGGAACAGAACTTTAAGGAAAAAAGTTTCTTCATCCAGCTTTGTTTAAATTTACACTCTAAAAACATATAAACAAATGGGGATTTAGTCTGTTCACTTAACCAAAAATGACATCCCATCTTTCTTCTGCAATATCCCATGTTATCTTTGTACCACTGAGCACCTACTGCACTGTAACAACATGAAGTGTTTGGGTTTAACAGTAATACATCCAGCAAAACTCACTTCTGCTTCAGACTGCACTATGCTAGCAAAACAGCAGTGTCAAAATTAAGGACAGGAATAGCAGTAAAGGCTCCAGATGTCCGGAAGTAATGCAAGGGCTGAATACAAATTCAACTCACTGAACTGATACAAAATTATCTAACCACCGATCATCAGACTGGCTTGAAGAACTAAAGAATGTGTTAACTTGGGAAAGGGGATGCTAGTGGATTGCAGACTTTTATCAGACAATACCTATCCCCAGCTACACCATTCAGATGATAAGCCTTACAGATGTAATGAGAACACCACAACTTGAAGGGCCTACATTTGTAAAAACAAAAATAAACAAAACTCCAAAACAAACAAACAAAAAACCACCAAAAAACCAACCAACCAAAAAGAAAAAAAAAACAAAAAGAACCCACCCCCAAAGCCTCAAAACAGCCACTGCAATAAATTTGGCAAAGTTAGCCAAAACAGTTTATGCTGCATCCAATCAAGAAACAGTTGCACTAAAAGAAAGTGGAATTAATCAAGCTGAATTAAGCTGATCTACAAAAGCTGGACAATGACAGAATTGACAGACTCTCAAGTGCAGATCAATTCTAACAGAGAAGTAACTACATGGTCACTTACAAGTTTCACAGAATTTTTTTCTCATTCTGTATTTATGTTGGTTTTTTTTACTGTTAAGAGGAAACAGCATTTTTCCTGACCTTCCTCTCACTATGTCTTGTAGCTAAAATCTTTATGAAGTACTTCAGCATTAGCTAGAATCCTAGGATGGTAAGTTTAGGTTAGACAAAAACAGTTTGTTAGAAGTTATAAGCAAATGAACACAAAAGTCTTACTGAGGAAAACTCAGATCAGCACTAAGGCACTAGTTTAGAATTTGTTGGTCATGTGAAACTAAAGTCTTGAATGGCAAAAAAAACCCTCCAAACATCAAGCTAAACTCCAAGAACTTTAAATCTCTGCCACAGACTCATGTCACTTAAAGTAATCCAACTGCTACTACTTAATTGCAAAGTTCTTAATACATCCTGGAAAAGATTCCGGGCCTATCTATTCATGAATCTTTATTCCTAAACTGTAGCTCTCTGTTGCAGTTTCACTTAATCCATTTACCAGTAAGCATTCATACCTGACATTACACTTAGGAACTGGTATCTTACCTAATTTGCACTGGGTTCACATCTAGACTAAAGTACTTCCAAATATGCAGCTCCTGCAATGTGCTAATTTTCGAATGCATCTGAAAAAAAAATCAACTTTCAACCTCTCTAAATACATTTGTGAATATGATTTATTTTCCTTACATATTTTAGTGATATTAAAAAAGGTCACCCAGCAGAATTTTAAGTTTTTTTCTTCATTAATGTAGTAGTAGCCCATACATTTTTCCTCACTCAACCGTCAAAGCATTATTCAAGCAGAACATTAAATGCTAGCATACTATTTTGATAACACTAGAAAACTGACAGAATAAATTAACAGAAGACCTGACTCACTACAGTTGCTCTTTTGCTCGCTATTTGCACATACAATTTAGAACTTTACAGCACCAGGATATTAGAAATACAAATGTGAAAACTGAAAAAGGAGGAAAAAAGCAAGGAATTAAGAGCACCAGTTGACCTACCAAAATCCTTCTGCCCCATGTTTATCATTGAAGGGAAAAGTATACAAATTCTGTAGAAATCAGCTCAGTTAATCTTGATCCTTGACTGACTTTCTGAAGATTATCTTTTTTTAGGCAAATTCTGCCCCCATCCCACAGCATAATACTATAATGCATGCAAATATTAACTGATGCAAATGAATCATCCTTTCAGCTTTCACAAAAGCTTCCACTTCCACCTTAAAAGCTCTAAAAGCAATACTTCATTACACCCAGATGCCTAAAATGCATAGTAAAGTTCAGCACCAAGTATTGCAAAAATTACTTTACTTGGTTCCCTCCCTACCTAAGAAACAACAGGGAGCCAACTTTCAGACACTGACCAAAAGATCTCCTGCTTTTGTTTTGTAAGTTCAATTCATTTATTCCTTGGAAAGTAATAAATATCTTGAAGAATTCTTGGCCTCCACTCAGTGAACTGAACTCTCCTAATTTTTAAGTGCAAGTATTGCCAAAAGTTAGAGAAATCTCAAAAATTTCCTGCAAGGAATGAACTTCTTTTACCTTTTTCAATATATACATACATATTTAAATATAACTCTCTGTTAAAAGTTGAAATGTAACTTTCAATATATTGAAATAACTCTCTCCATCCATATGGAAAACAATGCCGGACGCATCAGCTAGAGACTGCTACTGCTCAGTAACAAACCTTCTGGTCCCCATCAAGCTCACTCTGAAGCTAGCCAAGAGCTTCCATTTAGTTCCCCTTAACAAAAAAAAAAAAAAAACAAACCCACAAACCATACTAGACCCACAAATTCAAGATTCTGGCCAAAACATGGGCAAAAGTTAGCTGGAAATTCTCCACTAATCCCATTAAAACTATCAATAGGTCCCTGGGAAAGCTATCAACCAGTCACAGGCAGATGGCCATTATTATCCTGATGGAAACACTCTACAACAATTGACCATGACCTGATCAGCCTGAAAGAGCTGGCAGAGATTTAGAGCAACATATTGCTTTAAGTTCACCAAAACTCCCATCACTACCATTTCTATAGAAGTATCACTCAAACACCAACATCTTTGACCCCTGACAAAAAGAGCATAAACTATGTTTAGTATGTTTTATGTTCTGTAGCACATAATTAGCTCCAGACAATTTAACTGACTTACTCTGAAACCTCCAATAGCATTATCAACCCAATAAACCAAAGGTATAAAAAATTAGGATCAGCGTAAAGACTGTCCAACTTCTGCAAGCAAGTCATGAAGCTCTTCCAAGTCCCCTGTACCCCAAGATCTTGGATGTTACGCATGAAAAGTATCAGCAATCATTCACAAACTAACACACTAAGCCCATCAGCAAGTTCTTGCAAGTGGACTGTCAATCAAGCACTCCAAGGCTACATCAGGGATTTGTTCCTTAGCAGAGCTTTTAACCCAATGCAATTTTTATAACAAGGTCAATGTAAACCAGGAGATTTCATAAAGGATCAAACTGGTAGATTTGGTAGTTTCAGGAAGAAAGGTTCATCTGAACTACAGCGTTTCCACATTGTAAATTCTTTGTAACAGGAATAAAAAGGTGGGGGGCATTAGGAAAATTTATTGTTAACATTATTTTTCATATTTTGTTTAAATAAAGAATGAGATGAAGAAGAGGAGGCTCCAAATGTGGCAGGTTTTTTTTTTGTTGTTGGGGGGGGGGGGTGGGGGGGAACCCAAAAAACAAAAGGGAAAACATGCACAGAAAATTCCTGATGGCATGGAACATAATCACCATTACAGTACTAAGGAGATGAACTCTGACCATAACAGTATGGACTTGGACTGCTTCATAATTAATATAAACCAGTAATAAAACCAGTTATTAAGATTTCTTCACTTAACTGGGGACAGGAATATATCTGCTTCCATGCAGGAATAAAAATTTAACAATATGCAATTTGAGTAAAATCAATTCCTAGTCTCTTTGGGGAGGAAGAAAAAAACCCAAACAATCATTAAACCTTCTTGTCCCAACTCCCTTCCACAAAACCATATCCATACACTGGAATACAGCAGCTTCCATACTGGATTACCTAGTTCAGTATTAGTACACTAGTATATTGAACAAATAGCAGCATACTAAATCTACACATATATATACACATCTGCTAGTACAGTGGGCATATGTACTGGTCTTACTGTATTACTGACAACAGTCATAACTAGATGCTTTGGAGGGATATTCAAGACTCTTGCTCTTGAAATATGTCCAAGAAATTGCCTACATTGATATTAAACATCATGGTTAAGCCAGTTCAGTCACTTGGTCATAAGTCTTCCTAACCACAACTGCTCTGGTATCTATGTAGACATGCAGTACAGACATATTTAAAGCTACTGGTTTGTGAAATTGAAAAAAAGATGATAGAAATTGATGTTACATTAAAAATGACTTATCTGCTGACAGAGGTATGTTTGATAAGGCTGTACTGGAGAAAATTACAGTAATAAAATGCATTAAAATCAAAGCAGTTATTAGTTTTACACCAGTAGAACTGGTGCATAGGTGTTTGAGGTTGCTTTATTGCAAATTATTTAACTGCAAATAACTTTGCATGTATTTGAGTGACATAAGAACAAAATGGTATGAAATTATAAATATTTTAAATTGACTTACCATCAGAGCTTGTTAGAACAAAGCTCTCAGCATGGGACTGCTTCTTCCCACCTATGCTTCTGGGAAACCAGTGAAGATCTATGGGATAAATGTCATCCGGAAGTTTCACTAACCGAGTAGTCTCACGGGTTAAAAGGTTCCATTTCATTATTTGGTGATCATCACTGCAGGAATATAGCTCGTCAGCTGTAGTCCATCCCACACAGCTCACTAATTCTTTATGTTTAATTTAATTAAGGAAATCTGAATATTTTTATTATTAAAAATAAATTTATAAAATAACTCATGTAGGCTATACACAACTGACGGAACGGTACTGGAAAGTTATTTTGATAAGATTACATGGAATGTTTGATATTTAAAATATGATTCTTCATTCTTTCTTTGTTCTTTGGTGTCAAGAAAAGAGCTGCTAGACACTCAGCAAAAATGAAGCTAACTATAATGTAAAATATAATTCTTATTACGATGCATACTTATTGAAACACAGCTGAAATGTTGGGTTATAACTCTAGAATGGTGTTAGTGCACAATGAATGTGCAAAACATCCAACTGTAATTCAAATGTGTCAGTTTGTTAACATCACATCATATATAGTTGACACATCTGATTTATTAGCAGGAAAATTATAATTTTGTTTACATCTGCTACATGCATGCCTATTACAAGGAAGCAGATATATCACTATTCCTGTCTGGGAAATATTTTAACTTATCACTACAAAAAAAGAAGGTAAAGAAAATCTTGAAAATTTCTAGCAAAACACTGATAGTTTCTCAAGGGAAGGTATTACTTTAAGAGTGTTCAACAGCTCTTTAAATGCTGCCTTTAAAGGCTGCACTGAATGGCAAGGTGAAGAAAAGAACAAAATATAAAGCCATTTGCACTTTACAAATATTGTACTATTACACCTATGATAAAGAAATCCTTTCTGGAAAAGTCTATTCAGAATTAACATGCTGTTCTATGGTTTGTTCTGAGAGAAAGGATATGTTTTGGTTCCTTTAAAAGTGAAATCTTCAGTCGCATTTCAGTTGTAGAGCGCTAAAAGAGATGTAAATATAACTGCAATAAAATAAAGCAAACATATATATATGTAGCCAAAAATAAAAAGGAAGATACACCAAAATTGAGTATTACATTAGTACTGTGAAAAAATAAGCATCAAACCACGCCTGAGTTTAAAGGGAATTCTGTTTGTACAATACCTAACTGTATATTTATCTGATTGCTTAGTATAAACATATTAGATAAAGTCCAAGTGATGCTAGGAACTTATTGCTAAAACGTTACAGGTTGAAACACTTAAGTTCTCTTGTGCCGATATACAGCCGCTGAGGTAAGTATTTTCCTTTCAAAGACAAGAGCAAAACTTTATTACAATTTTTGAAAACGGCTTCAACACTGTTAACCTGAAGGGCCAAACAGTCACCCTTAAGGCGCACAGCTCACCCGCTGTCATCACAGCTACATTCATCATAACCCCTCTTAGAGCGTACTACATACAACTCTGCCACAAGTTCATCAGCAGGTTAGCTGAAGGCATTCGCTGGCAGTTTTAAAACAGATGGAGCCATAACGAGGAGTTACTCTGACACTGTGCTCCTGGCTCGGCTTCTCCCAGCCTCACAGTCCGGCGGTCCCCCGGTCGCAGACGATAGCCCCACGCCGCCTTCCTCCTCTCAGCTGTTTCCCCTCCGGAGTAGAGAGAGATGGCGGGCGGTTGGCGGAGCAAGAGTTTGCTGCCTACGGGGCGGCTGTGAGGGAACCGCAAGTCCTCCAGCCTCATCTGCGTCCCCACACCCAAGGCACAGCCCCTTGACACCACACAGACGGCAAAGCCTGCTCCCCGGCCGTGCCGGCATCCCCTTCTCCCTCAAAGTTTCCATCTTCTCAAACGGCTAATCTGCTAACCCCGCTCTTTCTTCAGGGGAGAACCAGGGTCCGTTCCCTCAGGGCCGTCCGGAGTCAGGGGTCGGGACTCCCCCGCCCTTACCTCGCAGCCTAGAGCAATCTCTTCTCTCTGCCCAGCCCAGCCCTCTTCCCACGCCCAGAGGGGGTCACGGCTCCGGACCCTCTCGCCCACTGCGGCAGTGAGTCAGACCTGCCGACCGCCAGCCTCCCCCGACGGCAATGGGAGGGGGCCCACCGCCGCTCCCCCAGCCCGTCTTTACCTGCGCCGGCAGCGAGAGGGAGAGCACAGAGCGGCAAGGACCGCTGAGGTAGCAACCGGCTCCCAAGCCCTAGCGACTTTCGAGCTAATCCCGCCTTCTTCTCCGTCCCGCGACGCCACAAGAGCGCCCAGGCCAAGGCGGCGACTACCCGCTCCCCCCGCAGCCAAGCGGCTCCGTCTCTATGGCTACTTCCCGCGAGACTTCCTCTTCCTCCCACCGCCACCTCACGGGCCCTTCCCGACCAGGTGACAGGGCTGGGTGTTGTCCGCGCCGCCCGTTAATTCATAAGGCTTTGAACCCGCCGCGTCCCCATAATTTTCAACTATTTTTCTTATTATTAGTTAACTTTTTTAAACTTATTTCAGTAGCAGCACCGCCACGCCGCTGCTCTGCCCCACCACCTCACCGCCAGTTGCCGAGCAACCCGGCGCCGCCCACTGACCTACTTCTAAAATTAAACCCTTTGCACGTGGGGTGAGCAGGGCCGCTGTCACCTTCGGCCGCGAGTCTCCCTGCTCTGTTCCCCACAAGAAACGAGCCGCTCCCCGCGGCGAACGGGGTTTGTTTTACTTTCTCATCCCGCCCAGCCCATCCGCGCAGTAACGGAAAACAAGATGGCGGGAGAGCGGGGCTTTTTTCCTCCTTTCAAACCCGCGGGAGCCCGGCCCCCTCCCTTCCCAGCATGCCCCGCGCTTTTCTAACGAATTTCGGTTCGAGTTCGCCGTTTGGGCGCCATTTTCGAGTGTGGAAGTCGCCGAGCTGCGGTAGCAGCTGGAGTCGCCCGTGTTGCCACAGCCTGCAGCATTGCTGGGGCCGGGAGGCGCCAGCCCTCAAAGGTACCAGCTCCGCGGGATGTACTCGGCGCGTAGGGCTTCGGGCAGGAGCGTCGGCAGTTCGCCTGAGGGCAGGTGGAGTTGGGGGCTTCATCCGCTGTAAGCAGGGCGGCGGAGACGTCCTCAGGGCGCTTCCCTGGTCAGGGGGTGCTGTGGGGGAGAGTAGGGGGGTGGCCGGGTCTGCCCAGCGCCTTATTTTTTCATCTTTTCTCCTCGCCTTAGGGGAGCGAAAGGTGGCGGCACCCCTTCTCTCCGGGCCCGGGCAGTGGGGCGGGGGTTGCCCCTCCGAGTGCTCTTCCTCCCGAGGGGCTTGGGCTGCCCGGTGGCCGGTCGGTCCCCGCGTTGGCGGGGCATGGTGTCCGGCGTATCCGTTCTGGCTGGTTTCGGCAGATGGGTTTGAGGAGGGGGGATGAGAGGGTCTTCTGTAGCCCATGGGAGAGATCTCCGGGTTTCCCGCTGTGGCCTTATGGACCACGGGGGACCGTGAATCAGAGCCCCATTTCGGACGGGGAAGTACAGGAGTACGTTTCGGCAGCAGTGAGGCCCGATTTTAATCTGTTTACAAAGCAGGGACCCTTCTATAAATAGGTCTGCCTGCTCCTTTTATGCTTGAAATATGAGAGAGAAATTTTAAGAAAGCCCGTGGCAACTTGAAAAAGACCGCGATAAGCCTGCAGTTGGACTCCTTTAATTAACGAATGGACTAAAAAAAAAACCCGAAAACTTTTCGCAGACATGGGTTATCGGTATTATATTTAATCTGCTGTTAATAAGGACCCCTTTCTGTGCGTCTCTGACTCTCTTTCACCATCTCTGTAACAAAAAAGGCACTTGGCAGGAGATCGTCGAGAGATGCCTTAACAAACACCTTTGAGCTGACTCGGGGGAGGGGCTGGGCACGAATTTGTTAAATTTGTTAGAGTATGTGGCAGCTAATTTATCGCGATTTAAAAGCTGAGATCGAGTAGTTATGCTTGTTCATTCTGCTGAAGTATTCTCGGGGGGAAGGGTTGGTAAGGTAAATAGGTCTATATTGCACAATTCTGTTGGAGTGGAGCAGTTTTTGAAAAAAAAAAAAAAAATCTGGTACTTTGAGAGGCTGTAATTGTCCGAGACAGCCATTGCGGAACACTTCTTAACAGGGGCATAGACTCAAATTGCCTTAAAATGAGTTCTTTCTCTCATTTCCCCCCTCCCCCATTGTCCCAAATGAAGGACTCTCATGAGAGTGTGGGTTGGGGGTAGGTCTGAAAACGTCAAATGATTGGCACCAATTGTAAGATGACTTTCTAACCACGTCAGTTTTTTATCTTGTGAGAAGTAAACTTTCTCATGTCTGTTTTTCTGCGAACTAACTTCGCCACTTGCTGCAATTTAAACTCTTTGGAGAGAGTTTCATTCTTACAGTCGTCTGTCTTCTCATCGGCTGCTTTCTATTTATACTTTCTGGGAGCTGTGCTTAAGTGCCAGCTGATGAACTTTTGTAATGTTTCGTTCTTGATCAGTTAACTTTAACATCACAGCTAGATTAAGGTACTTTGTTTTCCTTTCTCTGCTAAATGTTAATTGCTAGCAGTAGTGATTGTGTTATATTTTGTGAAATTAGTGTGTTGATTTAAACTGTTTGAGTCAAGTCTTTGTTATAATTATACAGGTCTTTTTGTTTATCTATCGATATATATAAGAAATATATAGTCAGCGTGGACTGTTAAAAGTAAAATGTGTGTCAGGCCTGAAATGTGTGTGTGAAGAATGCTTCTAGGAGAGTATGATTATATGGCTACTCAGTTTGTTATTTTGCAAATGTGTCTTTAACTCTTTTGCCCCCAGCATCACGGTTGCTTTCTCTGAGCATGGAACACGGTTGTATGATGTTTCAGTAGGTAGATTGATGCTGTTCCTATAGATAAGTGTTGGTGTGTTGTTTTGGGAGGGGTGATGTAACTTAAAGTATATCATTATGAGGCAAATCTTGATTTTTTTTTTGTTGTTGCAAATTTGGATTTTTGTCTTCAAAATACCTCTAGTCTTTAGTTTCTAAATTAGTCCAACATCTGGGCAAACATGTAGGTATATTCCTTAGGGAATTGTCATTCAATGCTTAGATCACGGGGTTTTCTTATTTATGTTAGCAAAGGAGATAGATTCCTTCAGTAGTCTTGCTTGCTTGGAGTGGAACAGCCAACAGAGATCATGCCAAGCAAGAGCACCAGACCCTCTACAGCAGCCCATCAGAAAGGCAGAGAGCCCTTAGAGGAGTCCACCAGTGACATGGAAGTGGAAAACGAAGGCAGCAGAAAGCTTGGCGAAATACCTCCACTAGGTAGGTTTGAATATTGTGGTTCTGATGATGTGTAAACTTGATGATAGTGCCTGTTAAGCAACAAGGTTCAGTTGAATCTGCCAACTCTTCCAGGTAGGATTTGCTCTTTTCTTTTAGAAAGGAATGTTGAAAGCCTTGACTCCTGGCAAGTTTTAACTGCTTTTAAACTGCTAAAGAGGGCTTGCAAAGAGTTACTGTGTTTGGACCAGTGATTTAGTACAAGTGCAAAAGCCATTTGGAGACTTTCTCCTAATAAAGCCTATCTTATATTCCTGATCTGTAACATTGTCCTTAAGTTTGTGGTACAACAGCAGGATTTTTAAAATTTATATGCAGCCAATGGTATGGGATTTCTTGGAATGGAATAAATGTCAAGTTTATTTACTTAACTCTTAAAATGATTTGACTTTCTTTTTCATGAAGCAGTGTATTTTCTTGGGTTTCCTGAATTTTTTCCTGAAAATGTCTGGAAAAAACAGTGCTGTGTGTCTTTTTAGGTAACCAGATGTGCAATTATTAAAGCAAGGTATTTGACAGATAGATTGATATGTTGAAGCTGGTGGCAAAACCTACTGTCTGTTTGAAGAAAAAGTTGCCAGTGACTGTTGAAAAGCTGCTTTCCTTACAACTAACTGATATCCAGGGGGCTAGTTTGTTTTCGTAACAAACTTCCTGTCTTTGCAGAGTAGTTGTGCTGTCATT